GTATTAAATTTTCATCTTTCCTTCTTGAGCACTTTAGAATTTATAAGTTTGGATTATTTACAAATATCTATGAACAGCAAAACAAGATTTTTTATATGACAATATACTTTCATTAAGAAACTAGATTTGAATGTAATTCATTTTATATATATTGTAACATATGTAGAATACTTGTATGAAGTTAACGATCAATTTATATAAATTTTTTTTCTTTGCATCTTAATTAATTCAACATATTATATGCAAGATTTTCATTAACATTCCAAACTTTATAACTTATTTACTCAAGTCTCATTTATTTCAACTTCTACCAACTCAACAACAAATAATTCAAAACTCTTTTAATTGACAGTACAAAATTCACTCATAACATCATTTCCATTGGTTAGGTATGGATTGTTTCAGGAACAACAAATATAAATAACAAGTTATCTCACTATATAATTTTTTTTATATGATAAAAATATAACAACTTTTATGCTAACTATTTTTTTTATTTAATCTCAATACGATATCGATGACAAAGTCTAATAACTCGAACAACAAAGAATTGAATTCCATTTTTAACAATATTTTTCACAACAATTTTGGAAATAAATTCTTTATTCGTAAAAAATTCAAAACTGTGAGACCTAGATAATTAACACGCAACTTAAGTCAATCAAATTTAAAAGGCATTAAAACCTACATGCCAGTGCAGTCCACGTCACTACTCAGACAATTAAAACCCACTACATATCTCTGCATGCACTGAAAAACGACACACACACTGACACCACTCTGCCAAGTGTAGTTTTAGAACCTTCGAAAATCGTAGTGGGAAACATGGTGGCAGTATGAGAGTGCATGGACCGTTTGACGTAGGAGAGAAAATGATTTCTCTGATAAACACTTCCTCTCCTCTTGCATTCAACTTCTTCCTCACAAAACCCAACCCTTCATTCCTTTGCCTTCTCTCTAGAACCAGACCACCTTCTCTCTACTGTAACTCACGTTTCTTCTCGATCAACTTGGCAGCACCATAGGAACGTTCTCCTAGCTTGAGCTTCATTTTGGACCGAACCAATCCCGATTCTGAAAACGGTAAGTCTCCCACTAGACGTTGTTTCTGGATATCCGGAAACCCATATTCAGTGGCATGCAGGGTAGACGTTGATATCTTCTACATTGCTTGGTTAGATAGTTGAAGAAACTTAAGTGACCGTGGAGTATAGAAGAGTCGTAGTGAACGAGTTAAAGTATACTCTAGACGTACACTGCTCCAGGTAAGGGAAATATTATATGTTAATTTACTGCATGTTGTATGATCTATTTGGATGTATGAACAGTGTGCTTTTAGCGTTATGAACGATCAATATTGTATATGTTTTATGTTGGTTGAAATGATGTGATTTGGATACGTATGAAGTTGTATGATTATAGTATTCTTGATGATTAATATGATGAAATTGTTCTGGTATGAGGAATTTATCTTGGATATGAATTTACGAAAGTAAGACACATGAGAAAGGTTGAGTTTAAAATTAGTTGAAAATCTAGATATGATATTTCCCTATGATAAATTTACTTTGCATCTTACGGTCTTATACCGTACGGTTTCCCTGAAAGACTTAGAGTAGAATTCTTTCATTTGGGAAGAATTCGGTTTGAGAACGAGCGTCCTCATTTGAAATACTATGTTTGAGCGTTCGCCAACATAGAGTTGTCGTACGCTTAAATAATAATACTAATTAGTAACGTTCGGTCTTATACGAACTTCGTCCGAATAGCGCTCGGTCTTGTTACCAAGCGTTGTCATGATTGATTCACGTCATCTACCTAGCGTCGTTTTAATGAGTGTTCGGTCTTAGATCGAACGCTCGTCCTATCTTTGATTCCTTAACGAACGTAATAGCGTTCGTCCAAATAATACTTATAAGTATATGTCGCGTTCGGTCATTGACTGGCAGTCGACCCCTTTTAAACAAAGGTTCTCAATGTAGTAAGTATTATTCTTGATGTATCTTCGTCAAGTGGAGGTCACCCGTCCTCTTGGTACTTAAAATATTCTGACAAATGGTCGTATTATTCTGGAGTCTTTCTGATTGTTAATGGGTTCTTATAAATCTGGCTTTTAACGTTCGTCCTCTTCCTTTAGAAAGTTGAACGTTCGTCTTTTTAAGAGAGTGGAACATAGAATGAAAATGTTATAAATATGAAATTTTAAGAGGTGTGAACACTATATTAAATGATTATACGATTATGGAATTTGAACGAGCGTTCCAGGGAGGAACGTCTCAGATGTTAAATATTAAATTTGGTAAAGTATGACTGTGGATAAGTTAAGACTCGATGTCCATCCTGATGTTCCGTGATACTCTTCTTCACGTAGAAGAGGGTAGTTCATGTGTGGGAACGGCAAGGCTCCTAATCCATAAGTTAACCTGGCGACGTAGAACGGACTACCTCGCGTGGCAGCTGTTTAGGTTATCAGTACCTAATCATAGGTGCAAGGACGCTTGTACACTACACAGATCAACAGTCCGAGACATCGTCTATATATATATATATATATATATTATATATATATTTATAGATGTTACATGGAGTATATGTTAAACTATGTGCTTTGTGGAATGATATTCATTGTATGTGTGATTGTTGAATAAATTATAAGCTTCCCTTTCGTTTTTCCTTGTGTTGTCCATTTGTCTATGTACGTCGTCCTGTCTTGCAATTGTCATCCGTGTGGATGTGAGTAGAACGAGACAAAACTCTGGAAGACGTTATCAGGAGGAAAACTTAGTTGAAGTGGAAGTGAAAGCGGAGCAGTAGGCGTCCGTCTTTCTTTCTAGCTAGGACGTCCGCTTTTAGGTTTATACGTTCGGTTATTTTATTTTGTAAAACCGTTCGTTATTAGCTTTCACGGATTTCGTTTTGTATATTGTAATTCTGCACTTTAAGCCGTTCGGCTTTGAACTCTGTTAATTATAAAGACTGCATTGTTTACTGTTAATGGTAATTAATTCTGATTTATGGTAATTACTGTATTTTGGGATGTTACAAAAACAAATTAAAAACCATTTAATTTAAATATTGAAACACATCATAAAGTTGAATACATAAAATATAGTTTTATAATATGGCTATATCTCAACTTTTTTTTGGGTTTATTTATAGAATAACATATTAATGATTGCTTAAATAACACATTAAGATTTCTATAAATAAAACAATAACTTATGCAACTCCAGAATGCAACTAACTTCCCTTAGTTGTAATATCAACCAAATAACACGGATATAATTAAAGTAGTTATTAGGTATATAATAAATAAAGTATCTGGATATGGACATTTAACGATTAACTTTTCTTACTTCTTTAATGAAAAATAATGTTATTAGTATTATACTAGAATATGGTAGAAGATAAGAATAAAGTTTGCGTTGTATTCTTATAATAAAACAATATCTCTTACGAATCAGTTTTATATATATATATATATATATATATCAGTATATATATGAGTTTGTTAAGTTATGAAGGGTATTCAAATTTTAGTGATAAAAAAGATTTTTAGATATTGATAGATAAGGTTAAGAGTGTTGAATAATTTTTATTTTTTATTTTTTATTTTAAAATAAAAATATTAAAATATTTCTGTATTTACAAGTATGTTTTTCATAAAATCTGAATTTTTTTTAAGTAAAATTTGATATATTTTAAGAGATTATATAAGTTATATATATATATATATATAAAAGATTTCCTTTTATATTCTCAAATGTTTTTTAAATAAAAGTTTTTTAAAATTAATATAAAATGAAGTTTTTTTATATTCATATATATTTTATAAATTATCATTTAAATATTTTAAATTAAAATAATTGTTGAACCATATTCTCGTTCGGTCAATCAAACACGATTAATAGTTAACCAAATAGTATAATTTCAAGACTCATTACATTCTTGGACGACCATTCATGACTGACCACATTTAATCAACTACTTTTGGTCGACCACATTTGGTCAACTACTCTAGGCCGATTATATTTGGTCGTCCATCCTTGACCGATCATTATAGGCCGAACAATTTTGGCCATCTATCATTTGGCCGACCTCTCGACATATCATCCGTGATCAATCACCTTAATCAAATAACATGATAGACTGATTACATAATGGTTAGATTAATATAATGGTTAGATTAATATAATGGTAATTACAAATCAACCTTGATTAATGTATGATTGAATCGTGATTAGACAAATAAAAATATAAAAACATATAATAACTACTAAAAATAAAATTCTTAACTATGACTTACAAATACATCCATGAGTACATTATTACTATTGATCAATTATCTACTCACTTTAGTGTTTGAGTATTTCTCTAGATATAATCCTAGAAGTTGGAAACCAAACAGCTAACCTTGATTGTATCCTAAACAATTATATTATTAATTTTATTATTTTTAATTTAATATTTTTAAAAAGTTTAACCATATATAAAACTGTTTATAAAATAAATAAAAAATATTTATAATAAAATTATAAAAAATATTTATACTATAGTAATGATAATAATAATTTTATTAATTTTTATAATTTTATGATATGTGTTTTCACTAATTTTGTAAGGTAATGGTTATAAAGTTTAATACATGGTGAGATATAAATGTAACATTCGTCGTCGAATAACAATGCTAATAATATTTTTAAGATTATATTTATAAGTAAAAAATAAAAAGATCCCACAAGAAAAGTATAAATTTATTAAAATAACACATTAAATGGAAAAGTCGTTTACATATAAAATAAAGTTTTAAAAGAGCAATTATTAAAACGATATTAAATGTTTCTCACACAGTATTTACTTATTGTATAATACGAGGATAAAATAAGGATATACTGAAAGGAGGCTTTGTTTGGTTTCACCAAGAACAAGTAATAATCGAATTATATTTATTTTGTTTTGTTTTACTGAGGAAAACACAAACGTGAGTAAAAACGTTGACGGAGTTTCCTAAGACGATAGAAGGAACGAAGATCTGTGCGAAATTGTGGTCACGCAAAGGGGCTGGCATCATGTGTGTGGTGTTGTGAGGGGTACACATGTCATTTCACGAATCTTCTGATCGATTAAGAGGTTCAATCTCAAAGATTGTGTTTGTTGAAGGATAGAAGAGAACAGGACTAGAAGAAGCCAAATATCACTCCCACCAACTATTCTTCTATTTCCATTCCAAGCCATGGCCATGGATTCCATGGCCGCTTCCATCGGAGTCTCCGTACCGGTGCTCCGCTTCCTCCTTTGCTTCGCCGCCACAGTTCCCCTTAGTTTTATCTGCCGCTTCCTACCCCGCGGCCTCCCCAAGCACCTTTACTCCGCCGCCGTCGGTGTCGTCCTCTCCTACCTCTCCTTCGGCGTCTCCTCCAACCTCCACTTCCTCGTACCTATATTCCTTGGCTATGCCTCCATGCTCCTCTTTCGTCCCCGATGCGGCATCCTCACTTTCTTCCTCGGATTTGGTTACCTCATTGGCTGGTATAATCGATCTATTTTCTCATTGCAATTCAATTGTTCCTCTCTTTGACCTAGCACCGCGTTTCTGACTGTCTCTTCTGCAGCCACGTTTATTACATGAGCGGCGATGCATGGAAGGAAGGTGGCATCGATGCCACTGGTGAGCGCAAATTTATGATTTCTTATTTTATTTATTTAATTTTTGGATTCAGGAATGAGGGGTTTAACTGACTTTTATTATTACTGTGGTAACGTTAATTCTGGTGATGGTTGGTTGGTTTGATCATTAATTGTGTGGTTGGTTTGGAAATAGGTGCCTTGATGGTTTTGACGCTCAAGGTTATATCCTGTGCGGTTAATTACAACGATGGATTGTTGAAAGAGGAGGGCTTGCGCGAGGCCCAGAAGAAGTTCCGTTTGGTCAAGTTGCCTTCGCTGCTTGAGTACATTGGTTACTGTCTCTGCTGTGGCAGTCACTTTGCTGGTCCTGTTTATGAAATGAAGGATTATCTTGATTGGGCAGAAGAAAAAGGGGTATTCTTATTGTTTATTTTGATTTTGGATAATGACGATTAGACTGATGAGGCATGGTGTACTATGGCTAGTGGATAACCTTGCTCGTAATGTAGTCAGGCTTTGATTTCTAAACCCTTGTGTATGGAAATTTTTTGTCAGGATATGTCATTTCTAGGCCTGTAGTCAGGGTTTAGTTTTTGGCTACCGAGTAGTGATACCCTGCTGCAAAAATAATAGCATTGAATGCCCAATTTTCCTTAAATTTAAATAAAAATTCAGGGGCAGTTTCTCATTTTCTGTGCTGATACGTTATGAATTACCGGTCTCCTATTTGTTATTTTAAGCCTAGTATTTATTATTGTTGTAATTGCAGATTTGGAGCCCTGAAGCAAAAGGGCCATCGCCCTCACCTTATGGGGCAACCATCCGGGCTCTCCTCCAAGCTGGGTTTTGTATGGCCATGTATTTAAACCTCGTGCCTCATTTTCCTCTGTCCAAGTTTACTGATCCTACCTACCATGAATGGTGTTTCTGGAAAAAATTAAGTTACCAGTATATGTCTGGCTTTACTGCACGCTGGAAGTATTATTTCATTTGGTCAATATCAGAAGCTTCTATAATTATCTCTGGCCTGGGTTTCAGTGGCTGGACTGATTCGTCCCCACCAAAACCACGATGGGACCGGGCCAAAAATGTAGATATAATAGGTGTTGAGTTTGCAAAGAGTGCAGTTACAATCCCAGCTGTTTGGAATATTCAAGTCAGCACCTGGCTTCGTCACTGTGAGTTTTTTGCCATGAGATTGAATGCTTTCATTGCGGGGTTTGATTAGTTATCTCAGTAGGATATAGACACTGTTCAGGTTTGGGCATGAAGTTTAGTTTATGGTCCTAGCTGCATCATTTTTAAGTTTTGGTTACAATTTGGATATATTATTTTTTGTGTTTACTTCTGAATTTGGATAAACTTTCCAATGAGAAAATAAAGAAAAGGTAAAATGCATTATGTTTTTCCTGTGAGCTAAAAATCAGTTTTGAAGATGTTAAATGAAAGAACTTGTATAAAGTTGAAGTACATAAGTTAATTTTGATTTATGAAAGAAACATAAATAGTTTCTCTTCAAGTATTTATTAAGGTGTTTATCAAAACATGGCCTTAAGGGGAACTTTGTATCATGAATTAGTTGGTTCATATTATTAATATCTCTTCTTGAGGTAAAAATCAGTTTTGAAGATGTTAAATGAAAGAACTTATAGAGTTACATAAGATGATTTTGATTGGTGAAGGAAGCTTAATTACTTTTAACTTCATTACATTCTTCTCCTATTACTTTATTTATGAAGATGTTTATCAAAAGAGGGACTTAGTTGGAACTTTGTATCATGGATTACTTGGGTCAGATTAATAATCCCGCTTCTTGAATTAGAACATGGTTTTTGTTTACAGTAAATTATAGCATGATCAAGCTATCAACCCTCGACCAGTTGATTTTCATTTTTTTGTTCATCTCGTAGGCTTTGCTAGATACAAAATTAAAGTTGATGTAAATTACCTATTTATATGTCATTCGTAGAGGTTGACAATGAAATATAAAATATTAATGTTGCTATTGTTTGGGTTTTGGTAGATGTTTATGAGAGGCTTATTCAGCATGGGAAGAAACCAGGTTTCTTTCAGCTACTTGCCACCCAGACCGTTAGTGCTGTTTGGCATGTGAGTAAAATTTTAGCAGCATTTTACATTGATTGTTTCTATTGTACTGTACGTTGGTATTTGCATTATTATTGCTTCAAGCTTACTATATTTGCAAATGTATGTATAGTTTTTTAGGAAAAACTAATTATTAGACAAATAATCATTACACTTGTTAATAAGCAGTATGAGATAGATGAGGTGATGTATAAATATATCTATTAATTTCTTCTGCTACGTTATTTGGGAAAAGAAATCCATTTTAGCCAGCTGAAGAAGGAACTGTTGCGTGAAACAACTTTGGTATGCTTGTTTTAATATGGTCTATCTATGCTCTATGTAAGGATTTGTGACAGTTTTTTTCTAACAGTTTGACTTTATCGTTGTAGGGCCTGTACCCTGGATACATAATATTCTTTGTTCAATCTGCATTAATGATTGCTGGTTCCAGAGGTATATGCTGATTTTTGCTCATTTGTTATCTTTTATTCGGTTAATTAACTTGAGTTGCTGTGTTTCTATGGAAACAGTCATTTACAGATGGCAGCAAGCTGTGCCTCCGACAATGGCTCTGGCTAAGAATGTCCTTGTGATTATGAATTTTGCCTATACGCTTTTGGTTCTAAATTACTCTTGCGTTGGTTTCATGGTTCGTCCACTATCTCTCCCTCGTAAACCGCAAAAACACTAACACCCACAGTTACAACTTATATTTTCAGGCTTAAAAATGCTAATATGGATTTCAAGGTTTTTTACATGTTTTTATTGTTTAATTATATTTGAATAGGTGTTGAGTCTGAATGAAACTCTTGCCTCGTATGGAAGTGTGTATTACGTTGGGACCATTATTCCTGTTGTTACGATTCTTCTTGGTAAAGTAATCAAACCTGCAAGGCCTGCTAGATCCAAAGCTCAGAAGGAACAGTGAGGTAGACAATGCTGTTTTATTCTTGTTGGAATTTTTGAAATTGGATTAGGATAATGTGGGACAACGGGTTTCCAGCTTCCACAGCTTTTCTGCCCCTGGTTTTCAATCTCTTGTAACAGCTGCCTTGGTCTTGAAAAAATGGCTGGGCTCTTTCATATTCCTGGCTTTAGCATTGAGTTGTATTTCTGTGATAAGAAAACATCCTGTTGGCAGGTTTTATAAAAGCAGTTACTGGCGAGATTTTAGGAACATTTGTATTTCTGTGATTTCTCTCTACTTTCAGATCTCGTGACAATTACTGCAAGAGGCTATATTTTTCAAAATCTTAACTGTAGACAAATATGCAGATACTCTGAAGTGTGGTAGCCAACTGTGCTATTTAGTTTTCAACCCACCCCATCATTTGTTGTCATTTTGTACAAAGTGATGCATGCCTTGTTGCCCAGTAAAACTTTTGGATATGAGCTGCCTATCACAGGTCTAAGAATTTCATGTCTGGGACAGTGCTTTACCTTAAAATCTCTTACCTGGATGGAGATATATCATAATATGAGCTATTATTATTAGAAGAAAGGAACAGTGAGGGAGAGCGAAAAGTTTATAGAAGAAACGAGATTATTAAGTTTGTTTGAAGACGAATTGAGATTATTTAATCCATCAATTCAACCATTTTTTCATCCTAATCTATTCCTGGCGACTTGTTAGCTGGTTTCTCAAGAGTTTATGCTCTTAAAATGACACTAATGCTTTTAAATGAACAAAGAATTGGATTTATGTTTGCATGGATTCACATATTTCTTGCTTTGGTCAATAAGATTTACACATCCTTGTAACCAATTTCAGTATTATTTTTAGAGTGATACAAGTGCTCTCATTTTAGTGCAGATATCTTTCTTTTTCTTTTTACCTTGTCATATAATATGCCTATATATTGTGATATGTCCATTAGTCAAATCCTGCAGAAGATCTCATACTGTCATAGTATGGATAGAGACAGCATTATGTTCAGGGAAGCAAACGATTGTAGGGACCACTTGCATGTTTTCCTTTTATTACCGTTCAGTTATTTCCAACCTCCTCTTGAAGGATTTTCTTTGTTACTTATACGTTGAATGTACANGTTTATTACATGAGCGGCGATGCATGGAAGGAAGGTGGCATCGATGCCACTGGTGAGCGCAAATTTATGATTTCTTATTTTATTTATTTAATTTTTGGATTCAGGAATGAGGGGTTTAACTGACTTTTATTATTACTGTGGTAACGTTAATTCTGGTGATGGTTGGTTGGTTTGATCATTAATTGTGTGGTTGGTTTGGAAATAGGTGCCTTGATGGTTTTGACGCTCAAGGTTATATCCTGTGCGGTTAATTACAACGATGGATTGTTGAAAGAGGAGGGCTTGCGCGAGGCCCAGAAGAAGTTCCGTTTGGTCAAGTTGCCTTCGCTGCTTGAGTACATTGGTTACTGTCTCTGCTGTGGCAGTCACTTTGCTGGTCCTGTTTATGAAATGAAGGATTATCTTGATTGGGCAGAAGAAAAAGGGGTATTCTTATTGTTTATTTTGATTTTGGATAATGACGATTAGACTGATGAGGCATGGTGTACTATGGCTAGTGGATAACCTTGCTCGTAATGTAGTCAGGCTTTGATTTCTAAACCCTTGTGTATGGAAATTTTTTGTCAGGATATGTCATTTCTAGGCCTGTAGTCAGGGTATAGTTTTTGGCTACCGAGTAGTGATACCCTGCTGCAAAAATAATAGCATTGAATGCCCAATTTTCCTTAAATTTAAATAAAAATTAAGGGGCAGTTTCTCATTTTCTGTGCTGATACGTTATGAATTACCGGTCTCCTATTTGTTATTTTAAGCCTAGTATTTATTATTGTTGTAATTGCAGATTTGGAGCCCTGAAGCAAAAGGGCCATCGCCCTCACCTTATGGGGCAACCATCCGGGCTCTCCTCCAAGCTGGGTTTTGTATGGCCATGTATTTAAACCTCGTGCCTCATTTTCCTCTGTCCAAGTTTACTGATCCTACCTACCATGAATGGTGTTTCTGGAAAAAATTAAGTTACCAGTATATGTCTGGCTTTACTGCACGCTGGAAGTATTATTTCATTTGGTCAATATCAGAAGCTTCTATAATTATCTCTGGCCTGGGTTTCAGTGGCTGGACTGATTCGTCCCCACCAAAACCACGATGGGACCGGGCCAAAAATGTAGATATAATAGGTGTTGAGTTTGCAAAGAGTGCAGTTACAATCCCAGCTGTTTGGAATATTCAAGTCAGCACCTGGCTTCGTCACTGTGAGTTTTTTGCCATGAGATTGAATGCTTTCATTGCGGGGTTTGATTAGTTATCTCAGTAGGATATAGACACTGTTCAGGTTTGGGCATGAAGTTTAGTTTATGGTCCTAGCTGCATCATTTTTAAGTTTTGGTTACAATTTGGATATATTATTTTTTGTGTTTACTTCTGAATTTGGATAAACTTTCCAATGAGAAAATAAAGAAAAGGTAAAATGCATTATGTTTTTCCTGTGAGCTAAAAATCAGTTTTGAAAATGTTAAATGAAAGAACTTGTATAAAGTTGAAGTACATAAGTTAATTTTAATTTATGAAAGAAACATAAATAGTTTCTCTTCAAGTATTTATTAAGGTGTTTATCAAAACATGGCCTTAAGGGGAACTTTGTATCATGAATTAGTTGGTTCATATTATTAATATCTCTTCTTGAGGTAAAAATCAGTTTTGAAGATGTTAAATGAAAGAACTTATAGAGTTACATAAGATGATTTTGATTGGTGAAGGAAGCTTAATTAATTTTAACTTCATTACATTCTTCTCCTAATACTTTATTTATGAAGATGTTTATCAAAAGAGGGACTTAGTTGGAACTTTGTATCATGGATTACTTGGGTCAGATTAATAATCCCGCTTCTTGAATTAGAACATGGTTTTTGTTTACAGTAAATTATAGAATGATCAAGCTATCAACCCTCGACCAGTTGATTTTCATTTTTTTGTTCATCTCGTAGGCTTTGCTAGATACAAAATTAAAGTTGATGTAAATTACCTATTTATATGTCATTCGTAGAGGTTGACAATGAAATATAAAATATTAATGTTGCTATTGTTTGGGTTTTGGTAGATGTTTATGAGAGGCTTATTCAGCATGGGAAGAAACCAGGTTTCTTTCAGCTACTTGCCACCCAGACCGTTAGTGCTGTTTGGCATGTGAGTAAAATTTTAGCAGCATTTTACATTGATTGTTTCTATTGTACTGTACGTTGGTATTTGCATTATTATTGCTTCAAGCTTACTATATTTGCAAATGTATGTATAGTTTTTTAGGAAAAACTAATTATAAGACAAATAATCATTACACTTGTTAATAAGCAGTATGAGATAGATGAGGTGATGTATAAATATATCTATTAATTTCTTCTGCTACGTTATTTGGGAAAAGAAATCCATTTTAGCCAGCTGAAGAAGAAACTGTTGCGTGAAACAACTTTGGTATGCTTGTTTTAATATGGTCTATCTATGCTCTATGTAAGGATTTGTGACAGTTTTTTTTCTAACAGTTTGACTTTATCGTTGTAGGGCCTGTACCCTGGATACATAATATTCTTTGTTCAATCTGCATTAATGATTGCTGGTTCCAGAGGTATATGCTGATTTTTGCTCATTTGTTATCTTTTATTCGGTTAATTAACTTGAGTTGCTGTGTTTCTATGGAAACAGTCATTTACAGATGGCAGCAAGCTGTGCCTCCGACAATGGCTCTGGCTAAGAATGTCCTTGTGATTATGAATTTTGCCTATACGCTTTTGGTTCTAAATTACTCTTGCGTTGGTTTCATGGTTCGTCCACTATCTCTCCCTCGTAAACCGCAAAAACACTAACACCCACAGTTACAACTTATATTTTCAGGCTTAAAAATGCTAATATGGATTTCAAGGTTTTTTACATGTTTTTATTGTTTAATTATATTTGAATAGGTGTTAAGTCTGAATGAAACTCTTGCCTCGTATGGAAGTGTGTATTACGTTGGGACCATTATTCCTGTTGTTACGATTCTTCTTGGTAAAGTAATCAAACCTGCAAGGCCTGCTAGATCCAAAGCTCAGAAGGAACAGTGAGGTAGACAATGCTGTTTTATTCTTGTTGGAATTTTTGAAATTGGATTAGGATAATGTGGGACAACGGGTTTCCAGCTTCCACAGCTTTTCTGCCCCTGGTTTTCAATCTCTTGTAACAGCTGCCTTGGTCTTGAAAAAATGGCTGGGCTCTTTCATATTCCTGGCTTTAGCATTGAGTTGTATTTCTGTGATAAGAAAACATCCTGTTGGCAGGTTTTATAAAAGCAGTTACTGGCGAGATTTTAGGAACATTTGTATTTCTGTGATTTCTCTCTACTTTCAGATCTCGTGACAATTACTGCAAGAGGCTATATTTTTCAAAATCTTAACTGTAGACAAATATGCAGATACTCTGAAGTGTGGTAGCCAACTGTGCTATTTAGTTTTCAACCCACCCCATCATTTGTTGTCATTTTGTACAAAGTGATGCATGCCTTGTTGCCCAGTAAAACTTTTGGATATGAGCTGCCTATCACAGGTCTAAGAATTTCATGTCTGGGACAGTGCTTTACCTTAAAATATCTTACCTGGATGGAGATATATCATAATATGAGCTATTATTATTAGAAGAAAGGAACAGTGAGGGAGAGCGAAAAGTTTATAGAAGAAACGAGATTATTAAGTTTGTTTGAAGAAGAATTGAGATTATTTAATCCATCAATTCAACCATTTTTTCATCCTAATCTATTCCTGGCGACTTGTTAGCTGGTTTCTCAAGAGTTTATGCTCTTAAAATGACACTAATGCTTTTAAATGAACAAAGAATTGGATTTATGTTTGAATGGATTCACATATTTCTTGCTTTGGTCAATAAGATTTACACATCCTTGTAACCAATTTCAGTATTATTTTTAGAGTGATAAAAGTGCTCTCATTTTAGTGCAGATATCTTTCTTTTTCTTTTTACCTTGTCATATAATATGCCTATATATTGTGATATGTCCATTAGTCAAATCCTGCAGAAGATCTCATACTGTCATAGTATAGATAGAGACAGCATTATGTTCAGGGAAGCAAACGATTGTAGGGACCACTTGCATGTTTTCCTTTTATTACCGTTCAGTTATTTCCAACCTACTCTTGAAGGATTTTCTTTGTTACTTATACATTGAATGTACATAGATTTCATGACACCATATTTACAGCATCAATATAAAGATGCTCTTCAGCTAACAAGGGGGATCATCTTTCGCTTTCTCCTGTTTTGTGAGGACAAACCTCCTCTTTTATCTTTTCTTTGATAAGTTAGTGTAGATTTTTTTTTTAAATAGGAAAATTAAAATTTTTAAAAAAAAAATGCCTATTAAACATCTTGTAAAGTAAAATGATTTTCTTAAACTAATTATTTATTTAATGAATAATTTCACATTTGATATCAAATAGATCTTTTAATTCCTAAGGGATTCAAATTCTTGTGTTTATTTTAGGATTTGTGAGATATTTTTTGGCTATTAATTTAATGTCTTAAATGTATCAAATGCTATCCAATTTTGCAAATCATCTCAATTCAAATCTGTTAATTAAAACAAAATCTCGGGGGTGTAGCCCGTTGGAGCTGGTTCCCATTCCGAGTAACTTAAAACTAATTTTCTAATATACTTATAAAATAAAAATATTTTGATATAATGAATATAAAATATATATTTTTCATCTTCTTCAACATAATATAACTGAATACGTAATTACAGAGTAATAATTAAGTATTTCAAATTTCGTAACAAATAATTAATAAATATGACATTTATCGCAGTAACAAGCTGACAGTAATTGTGAGAGACCACGCAGGCTTAAATTGTTGCTCTGACTTTGGTGATATGCTCTTACAAGGGTATTAAACATTGTGCACTGAGTAGGAATATTCTTAATTTTGTTTTAGGACGAGACAGTGCTAAGTACATAGACACCAGCAAACTGGCTCCAGATTTTGCTTTCATTTTTTTTCTGTACTATTCAGTTTTTTTTTGTCATTCAGTTGCTTTTACCCTAACAATTATGCTGAAGAAATTAGTATTTCTTGTTGAAACATTGTGTAGTTTTCTGTTTCAACATATAGATAAGAGAAACAGAAGACGAGAAGGTAAAAAAAAAAGTTATAGAAAACATGTTAATTTTTATACAAACAATAGAATTACCTAACCGTATATCTACCTTTCCTTCTTTTTTACTTTACATTTCAGGTAACATGAAAGATAAGTTAGGAAAGTATATTGCATTAGTTTTTGTGTAAATAAAAAAAGAAAAAGAAAATTGACAATTTTCCAACCAATAAAAAATCATAATAAATATGATTTTTAAGATATACATTATAAGAATGAACATGCTTCATCTCTCATAAATTTGTTTTTGGTAAGTTCTTAATTTTCTTTTAAGTTGATGTATGATATTTGATTGGATATCAAGTTGTAAAAAATAAGCTAAGATTGACACAATTTGATGTAGAATACGTGAAACATAAAAGCAAAAACACACACAATTTATGGTTCAAAATTTTCATTAATTAATTCTCTTCCAACGCGTAATCAAATCTGATTTTACTTTTTTTCTCTCTAAGCATGTTTTTTCCTTTTATTCTTTTCTTCAAAATTCTGACACTTTATGCAGCTGCTTCTCATTTTCTATTTGTTTTTTTCCTTTTCTTTTTATATTTTCTTTCACTTATCCCATTATCATAGTATTTGTCAGTCGGTTTCTTTTCTCTTCTCCATTCTCTCTGTTTTTTTGCCTCCACCACCGACTGCTAATTTTCGCTAGCTTCACCAAACTCAAGGTTTGTACCTTTCTCTACCTTTTAAATTATTCTAATCTTACTTCTCTGTTCCTTTTGTTTTTCTACTCTTTCTTCTCTTTTATTTTCCATAGTTAAGGTTCTTTCTTTCTCTCTTTGGTTTTCTTCCTTCCCAGAGAGAATCTCTTTTTTAGATGTCCTTTTTTTCTCAGAGAAAACACAAGGTCATTCTCTTCTTTTTGCAGCCATAAAACTTTGGTTTTGGTCAAAGCCCACGCACAACATGTTTTCTAGCAGCAGAAGAGGTGACGTTGCTGGTCATGGCAACACAGACATCTCTGAGTGGGAAGTAAGACCAGGAGGTATGGTGGTGCAGAAACGTAGCCCAGATGTGAATCAAAATTTCACATCTAAATCCACCATCAAAGTCATAGTGAAATATGGATCATCCTATCACCATATTCAAATCAGCTCTCATGCAAGCTTTGGTAAATTCATTGTTAGAAATTTCTCTCTTTTTTCTTGTTTCAAAGTTTAGTTTCATTCACTCACAACTAATTAGTACTGGGAATCATCAGTTAGTATAATTTTGGTGGTTATTGTAAAAAAAACTTTAAAAAAATAGTATATTTATCATGAATGAGTATAAGATAATGTCATGGTACATGGAGATTCCTGATTGAATTATACTTTATACTGCATATACTTTTATTTTTTTCATTTTCTTTCACAAATTATTGTACAAGTTGATGAATTATTGAATGTGGTTCTTTGGGGGTGCAGGAGAATTGAAGAAAATATTAACAGAACCTACTGGACTGCATGTTCAGGATCAGAAGTTGATTTACAAGAACAAGGAGAGAGATTCGAAGTCATATCTTGATGTTGAGAGAGTCAAAGATGGGTCAAAATTGGTGCTTCTTGTGGACATTGAGAGCAGAGAAAGAAGGATTCTTGAGAAGTTAAAAATTATAAAGAAGGAAAAGACTTCAAAATCTTTGACAGAAATAAAGCTAAAGGTTGACAAACTATGCAAGAAGGTACTAAGTTTCATAAATTATATGGACAATTTCACTATTAATTTCTGCGGTGTGAACTGTAGTACCTATTTTTCCTACTGATTAATGTCTTTGATTAATTGAAATTGGACTGATTAATGTCTTTGATTACTTGAAATTGGACAGGTTGCAGCTTTGGAGGCTGATGCTTCCACAGGGGTTAAAACAGAGTTAGATGTGGAGACTTTGACTGAAAATTTGATGAGAACATTGATTGCATTGGATGAAATTTATGGTGAAGGTGAACTGGAGCTGCAGAGAAGAGAATTGGTACTAACTCTGATCTTAAAAACAGCTGAAATATATATCAACTGATATAAAAAATTATTATTTCACTAACAATTGTTATGTTTGAAAACCAAAAAATGTGATAGGTTAGGAGAGTTCAGAAACCCATTTGAGGACTCTAGAAAGATATGCTGAGAAGACAAGGCAAAATTCACTTACCCTAAAAGTATGAAAACAAGAGAAAGGTGAATATGGTGTTGATTTCAGAAGAGGCAGGAAATCCTAAGCAGCAGCACAATGCAACATTCTGACTCTGTTGTGGTGACCACAAAATGGGAAACTTTTGATTAAGGCTTTTGGATTTATAATCAGAATGCTTCACTCGCATTAAGAATGTATTAGTGAGTCATCATGTGATTGAGGATTGCTTTTCTTTAAAAGAAATGATTAATCTCTCATTGTAAGACTGCAAATTAGAATAATGTGTAGATCACAATATTTTCCTCTGTACATCTATTTGCACCCTTTTTAATGTATTTTAAAGGTGCTTAATGGTAGGTGTAAAAAAAAAAGAGTGAAGTAAAAACTGACTGGAAAACCCAAAGAGACTAGTTATTTTAAGAATTGATGGTTGGTGTTTCTTTAATTAATATCATTTACAGACAATTTATGCCATTTTTAATAGTATTATTTATATTAATTAATTTATCTCATAAATTTCTTTCATTCTCTGGCTATTTCTTTACGGTAAGAAACTTTGTTTTCCTCTTTGGATATTCCTAACTCTATTGGGTGATTTCTGCCTATGACTGTATGTTTGTGTTTAGTTGTGGCTCTTTCTTTCTTTTTTCCTTCTGATACAGTGAGTAGGGACCATATCAGTAATAAATAATTGTTCTTTCTCGTTTCAAAAATCAAAATATTTTTTTTCTTTTCTTTTGCCAATCACCTTAACTGACCTGGGAAAAATTATTGTACTTTCTATTGTTTGATGTATGGCTTGTGTCTTTATTATTCTCATATTCTTTCTCTTGATATTTTCTTCATTAGAGTTTAAAAAATTAACCACTTTTCATTTTTTTTTATTTTTTGTAAGACATTTTCAATGAGTATTTATTTATTTTTTGTTCACATTACATATTATAACTCTATGTTTTTTTTATAATAAATAACATTTTTTTAATAATTACTAATAATAAAATAAAGTCGATAATATCAGTTATGTTATTTTAAAATTTAATAAAATATTTGTTTTTTGACATTTATTTTAGGTTTAAGATTTTACTTATATTAAGAACTGAATAAATATTGAACAAAATTATTTTTGTATCTGACTATTTGCTCAAATTCCAAGTTTCAATGTTCGATTTTATAAAACAAAATATTATGTGAATTTTTATTTAATATTTTAAAAATTTATAATTTTTAATCAATGATTAAATTTATGAAGAATGTACAGCTTAGATCCCTTATATTATATTAAGAAAAGATGGTATGACAAATATATATTTGAATTGGTTAATGCTTTTGAAGTTATAAATTATGAAAATTGACTGTGTTTATAGGGAAAACCTGTGTAATGTAGGGAGCACTGAGTACTATTTGACTTCCTATTTTAAATGTTTTTACATTGTCATACATTTTATTTCATAATACAGAGGAGTAAAATCAATATAATTTTTAATATATTATCTTTTGTTAATTAAACTTTTTTCATGAGAATACAAACAATGCATTCTTTAATACAATTTTAACAAGTTATCTCTTATTGATTATTTTCTTAAAGTATAACTCAAGTCATTTAAAGGTTTAGACAAAACCTAAATTTTTTTTTTTGGTCTGGGGACGCTGTAAATAGTTAATAAAAGTCATATGCACAAAATCGTGTGTATACACATATAATATTAATGCAAAATTAAGATAATTATAGGTTTATAAATATCTATTCCATTCTAATTTATATAAATAAACACTCCCTAAAATTATATTTTTGAAAATTTAGATGTATAAACAGTTTTAACACTACAAAATATTTTAAAATTTATTTTATAATTAGGTTTCCTTTAAAAAAAATGTTTGTAGTATAAAATTAAAAACCAACTACTTAATTAGAAAAAAATAGACATATATTTTAAAATATAATATTGATTATAAACAATTAATGTAGGACACACATTACACATTATTATTTTTATTTTTATTTTTAATTAGGAAAATCATCCATAAATATATACTGTACTTGTCCTTTTCTCTTTCTGCCTTTAGTAGAATGACAGAAAGAAATAAAATTTCAATAAATATATAACAAACATTTTTGGGTTATTAAACTTTTATTTGTTCACTGGAGCTTAACTTTGCTATTCAAACCTCCTTGTTTGCTATTCAAGCCTCCTTGTTGCTAATTTAAACACCTTGAAGTTGAAAGTATGGTATTTTCTAGAAAAAAATGGTCCCTAAAAACCGAAATTTTATTTACCTCAGATTAAGTAAAAATTTATAATATATATTTATATACATTTTGATAACTTTAATGTTTTATTAAAAAAAATAACTTTAAACCTAATTTAAATTTACAAAATTGACCTATAAGATAATATAATACTTATATACTTTCCTATGTATTTACAATATCTTGAGATGTGTAATTCTTATTATTTGGGACAGTTTTTCTTACTCCATTGTCTTCTTATATCTCCAAAAGCAAATACTCTTTAATATCAAAATATCCTATTTATTTATTTTGTAATTATTTTTTTACACTTTTCCTTATTTTTCCTTTCCCTTTCTTACATAATTGAATATTATATATATATATATATATATATATATATATATATATATATAATAAAATATATTTATCCTTCATTTATTTGAATAAATATTTTTCTTTAATTTTTAAATTTTTTTATCACGTGTCCATTCTTTTTCTTCCCTCAATCTTATTTTTGTGATGTGAAACAAAAGTATATTAGAAGTAACAGATAGTTATTTTAGTTAAAGTTAGTTTTTTCTCTTAAATATTTAGATTTTTATATTTTTCCAACACATGAAATTGATTTTTCTAACTTTTCTTTGTATTGATGAGTGGATTTTAAAAGAGCAAATGAGAATAGTTAATAAAAGTCAATTAAATTCTTAATTGCTAATAAACCAAATTATTATTATTATTATTATTATTATTATTATTATTATTATT